GGTGTGAGTGGGCGGGGCTAGAGCAAAGGCAGACAGGAGGAAGAAAACTGGAGGAAAAGACAGAAAACATGGAATAAATCATAAGCACAAATCATGATATATGCCACCTAAATATTTAGGTTGCAACTTAAATATTTAGCTAGCAAGTTAAATAATTAGGTATCTAGCTAAATATTTAAGTCAGAAGTTAAATATTTAGTTTATAAACTATGACATTTATAAATGTATGTATCATATGGTGAAAAACTGACTTTGAAAATTAAATCTGTTCTTTTTTTCTTATAAAAAGGTTAAATAAAACAAAAATATTGGTGGTAATTTTTGACTGTGTAACTTTACAAACGGCAGCCCGTAACTGACAGGGGACTTCCCTGATACTTAGCATAAGTACACAGTACCTACACAGTACTTTCATGGTATTTACTGGGTAAGCACATTGTAGTAAAAGGGTGATTTTTTTGGTACCTAACTGTGTTATAACACATCATACACATATTGACAAAATTGTTGGTCCCCCTCGTTTAAAGAAATAAAACCTCACAATAATCACAGAAATAACTAGAATATGACTAAAGTAAAAATAAAAATTCTATTAAAATGAACAGATTAAAGTTGTTACTCTGTTAGTCTTTTATAACTGCTTCAGTGTTATAAAAACAAATGTGTTTCTTACTGTCTATGGCCTCCTCGATCCCCTTCAGCCTTGCATAGGCAGCATTCATGTCCAGAGTGAAGTTATCCAGCTGCTCCTGAGTCAGCTGGCGGTAACGTGTCTCCTGTTCCATCATCTTACTGCTCAGGTCCTGGAAACAATCACAACACTACTGAACATGCAGAACGACAAGTCCCTGTCATCTATTAACAGAAAAGCTGTTTAAAGAGGAACACTCAGTTAAAACAGAGCCTCCGCAGCAGAGAGGTTTTTCTCATCAGGACGTCTGGACACCTCTGCAGCCCGGGGTGGATTTACCGAGGTGGACCACCAAAGTCATATTTTAACAGTTTATTTATGTTGTATCAGCTAAACGTGAGTTTGAATGTAAATCATGAAACTTTACTTTTTACAGAGTCATTTATTTAGAACATTCAGAAATGGTTTCATGAATGTTAGCTTGTCAAAGTAAGCTAAAGCTAGCTGTCACGTTGTCTCGTCTTAAAAAAAACTCTCTCTCCTCCTGGCCACACCTCCTCGCTCACCCACCCCCCCTCACTTTAGGCCCCGCCCCTGAGAATCTCCCAGTATTTTTCAAATTTGCCTTGGGGTGGAGTTATCCTTTCACGGCAGGTAAGCTCCACTTTAAATATGAAATAAATGAAACATGTTTGTTTTTTTTTTACAAAAATGAAAAGTAGAAAACAAATTAAAAACAAATAAAAACAAGTCCTTATAGAGCGTAGACATTTTGTTGTTAGGTCGATCTTTGTGCAAACTGTTTATTGGTGATTTTACAACAATCTATCCACTACAAGCAAAGTTAAACATGTTCAGTACTGTTTAAAACCAAACCAAACAGAAATATTCACCAGTAAATGTTGCTTGTCATGTGTGTGTGTGTGTGTGTGTGTGTGTGTGTGTGTGTGTGTGTGTGTGTGTGTGTGTGTGGTGCAGTGTGCAGACCTGTTCAGCCTCAGCCTTCAGCTCCTGCTCCTGGACTTTAAGAACATCTCGAACATGGTCTGTGTGAGCAGCTGCCTGACGGCGAAGCTGAGTCCTCATTTCTGCCTCCATCACTTCCCTCAGCTCAGAGGCCTGAAACACAGGAAAACCTGAGTGGTGCTGATGAAGGTGGAGACAGAACCTCTCACTTCCCTCAGCTCAATAACAGAGCACCGTCAGAAACAGGTACAGTACCGTCAGAAACAGGTACAGTACCGTCAGAAACAGGTAGAGCACCGTCAGAAACATTACAGTACCGTCAGAAACAGTACAGTACCGTCAGAAACAGTACAGTACCGTCAGAAACAGGTAGAGCACCGTCAGAAACAGGTACAGTACCGTCAGAAACAGTACAGTACCGTCAGAAACAGGTAGAGCACCGTCAGAAACAGTACAGCACCGTCAGAAACAGGTACAGTACCGTCAGAAACAGTACAGTACCGTCAGAAACAGTACAGTACCGTCAGAAACAGGTAGAGCACCGTCAGAAACAGTACACCACCGTCAGAAACAGTACAGTACCGTCAGAAACAGGTACAGTACAGTCAGAAACAGGTACAGCACCGTCAGAAACAGGTACAGTACCGTCAGAAACAGTACAGTACCGTCAGAAACAGGTACAGCACAGTCAGAAACAGGTACAGTAACAACAGAAACAGTACAGTACCGTCAGAAACAGGTACAGTAACATCAGAAACAGTACAGCACCGTCAGAAACAGTACAGTACCGTCAGAAACAGGTACAGTACAGTCAGAAACAGGTACAGCACCGTCAGAAACAGGTACAGTACCGTCAGAAACAGTACAGTACCGTCAGAAACAGGTACACCACCGTCAGAAAGAGTACAGCACCGTCAGAAACAGGTACAGTACCGTCAGAAACAGGTACAGTACCGTCAGAAACAGTACAGTACCGTCAGAAACAGTACACCACCGTCAGAAAGAGTACAGCACCGTCAGAAACAGGTACAGTACCGTCAGAAACAGGTACAGTACAGTCAGAAACAGGTACAGTACCGTCAGAAACAGGTACAGTACAGTCAGAAACAGGTACAGTACAGTCAGAAACAGGTACAGTACAGTCAGAAACAGGT